TCCAATCCAGATCTCTTTTAATGCACCTGGGAAAGCAGCAGAAGATGGCCCAGTGCTTGGGCACCTGCACCCACTTGGGACACCTGGTTGAAGCTCCTGGCTCCTGGCTTTGGCCTGGCACAGCCTTGGTCATTGCAGCCATTTGGGGAGTGAACCCAGCAGATAGAAGTTCTCTCTCCCTTTATATCTCCTTCTCTCTCTCTCTCTAGCTTTCAAATAAATAACTAAATCTTTAATAAATAAATAAATAGAACTTTACATGTGCCCATTTTAAGTGACTTAAATCACTGAAGCCATACTAGTGAGTCCAGTGATTCAGGGGTGAATAAATGTGCTGAGTAAGCACATCTCCAAATATCATAGACTATGAAGCAGCAACAAGCGTCATTCTGTATATAATGTCAAGGTGTTTTCAGGCCATCATCTCCATAGCTTCCAAAATACATCAGGGCCCAGGGTAAGTTGTAGAAACTGTGCATCATTGTTCTGCTAATTAAATCAATAAAATTTGATTTGTGTGTGTGCATGTATGAATTAATTAATTTGAGAGGCAGAGAGAGAGCTTCTATTCCCTGATTCATTCCCCCAAATGCCTGCAATGGCCAGGGAAGGCCCAGGCTAAAGCCAGGAGCTGGGAACTCCACCTAGAACTTCCAAGGGTGGCGGGAACCCAAACACTGGCGCCATCACCATTGCCTCCTGAGTCTACATTAGCAGGAAGCTGTAACGAGGAGCTGGGGCCAGGGATGAAGTCCAGCTACTCTGTCAAAGGACATGGATGTGTTCACCACTAGGCTAAATGACTACTCCCAAAGCTCTGAATTAAAAATATATCTGTAGCCAGCTAAGCACCACTTCTGCTGCCGACATCCCATATTGGAGTGCCGGTTCAAATCCCAGCTACTCCACTTCCAATCCAGCTTCCTGCTAGCAAATCTGCTGGTTCACTCCCCAGATGGCCTCAATGGCCGGAGCTGCGCCAACCCGAAGCCAGGAGCCAGGAGCTTCTTCTGGGTCTCCCACATGAGTGCAGGGGCCCAAGGACTTGGGCCATCTTCTATTGCTTTCCCAAGCCATAGCAGAGAGCTGGATCGGAAGTGGAGCAGCCGGGACTAGAACTGGCTCTCATATGAGATGCCAGCACTTCAGGCCAGGGCTTTAACCTGCTGTGCCACAGCGCCGGCCCCTGGGATAAATTCTACGAGGGTATTACATTTAAGTGGATAAAATCAAAGTACCAAACCATTAGAAGAAAATAAAAGAGAGGCATTCACCTTAAATTGGAGAAGGCCTTTCTAATGATGTCATTAAACCCAAAGCCATGAAAGACTGATATATTCAGTCTCATAACATCAAAAAATTCTCTGCCTGGAAAAATCCATAAGCAAAGTTAAAAGACAAATGACAAACTGGATGGAAGTATTTTTAGCTCTATTACAGGCCAAAAATTAATTTCTCTGACATGTAAAATCAGAAGGCCAAAAACCAGTGATATAATGTAAAATTGGCAAAGGATATGAAAAACCAGGATTGATCTTGTGGTTCAGTGGGGTAAGCCAACACTTGCAATATCAGCGTCCCGTATCGGAGTGCTGGTTTGAGACTTAGCTGCTCCTTTTCCAACCCCGCCTCCTGCTAATGTGCCTGGGAAGGTAGTGTAGGATGGCCCAAATACTTAGGCCCCTGACACCCACGTGGGAAACAAGGATGGAGTTTCTGGTTCTTGACTTCAGCCTGGCCCAGACTTGAATGTAGTGACCATATGGGAAGTGAGTCAGTGGGTAGAAAATCTCTCTGTGCGTCTCTCCCACTCTATCACTCTGCCTTTTAAAGAAATAATTAAAAAAAAAAAGAATATGAAAAATAGGGACTAAGGAGGAAGGGCATATGACTCCTTGGCACGTGAAAATGGCTTAGCTTCACTCCCCAGAGAAGAAACTCAAGCTAAAGGTATTCTGAGATATCATTTTCATCTTAAAATGTATATTTTTTAATCATCTACTTGAAAGGGAGAGAGAGAGAGAGAGGTCTTCCATCTGCTGTTTTACTCCCCCAAATGGCTGCAACAGCCAGGGCTGGACTAGGCTGAAGCCAGGAGCTTCATCCAGGTCTCCCACGTGGGTGGCAGGGACCCAAGGACATGTGCCATCTTCTGCTCCTTTCCCAGGTACATTAGCAAGGAGCTGGATTGGAGTGGAGCAGCCGGGACTCAAACTGGCATCCATATGGGATGCCAGCACTGCAGGCTGAGGCTTAACCCACTAGGCCACAGCACCAGCCCCCATAGCAGTGTTTTTAAAGTGAAACATTTTTAGCCAACTCAATGCCCATCTGTAGGCATTACATAAATTTTGGCAAGTCTATGCAATACAATATAATGTGAAAATAAAGGATGATGAAGTATATACACTGATATAATAACCTCCAAGATGCTGTTAGGCTAAAAAACCAAGGAGCAAAACAATGCATGTAGTGCACTACACTTTGTTTACAAAAAGGGAAGAGGTATACATTCATATGTAAATTGTTTCCTAAGGTATACATAAGATATCTGTATGGAGGGTAGGCAATGGGCCTAGTGGTTAAGGCACTGCATCCCATATCAGAGTGTGTGAGTCTGATACCCAGCTTCAGCTCCTGACTCCAGTGTCCTGCCCATGCAGACTCTGGAAGACAGCACGTGATGTCTCAAGTACCTGGGTCCTTGCCACCCACTGAGAGACCGGGATTGAGTTCCAGACTCTCGGCTTTAGCCTGACCCAGGTCCAGTTGTTTTGGGGCATTTGGGAGTGAACAAGTGGATGGGAGATGTCTCTCTTTCTCTCTCTCTTTCATTGTCTCTCTAATTTTAATTAATTTTTAAAAATCTATGGCTGGGTATAGACATGAGTAGGATATTGCACTGTATATCCTTTTTGTATTTTATATGGGGGAGTATAAAGCAACACTTATTAAAACTTCATAAATGAAACTGAAACACCAAGAATTATTTCAAAAAACATTTTTAAGATGACCAAGGTTGTGAAGAGTTAAAATTGTATATGTGCAGGTGTAAAAAGTTAAGCTTAAGCTTACAGGTTTAAACCTTCCTGGTACAGCTGTAAAAATAAGACAGAGTGAAGTAGCACCTTGACAGTAGGGACTCCATTTTGGAGCACTTGAGACTCCATTCTGGGAAAGCACCCCCCCCACCATGAGACTCTGGTTTGCAACCATGATCTCAAATAGTCAGACAATAGCAGTGCACTACATCACCCTTGGCAGAACACAAAAACCCCCTAGCATGATTGCTCAAGCTTAAAAGTAGAAAGGTTGCACTTGGGTTACCTGGGCTAATAATAAAGATGTGATTTGTCTGTGTCTTACATTAATGTCAAGTCCTAATTGCTAATTGTAATATTGTAACTGGTATTGTCAAGATTATGATAAATATTAATTTCACTTAGGTTTTAGGTTATGTTGACCCCAGTAACCATATACTCTTTTGATTTTATGTACTCTCTTTTGATTTTAGCAACTGTGTATAACAACCGTGCATAGCAACCATGTATTCCCCCCCTTCCCGGTTTTGTGGTTTTTGCCTTTATAAACCCTAACCTTTGGTTATTTGGGGCTGCTCTGTTCATGTATGATCAGACAGCCCCAGCATGCTGGATAATCAATAAAGCTTCCCCTTGCTGTTTGCATAAGAGATGTCTCTTGGTGACGTTTTTCGGGCAGTCGACTCTAACATTTGGAGGCCCCAGCGAGATCTGACTGCTGCCTGCGGACGTCTCCAACAGATATCTCTCGGGGTAAGCGCAGGCGCCTATTTGTGTTGTCGGCCGGCTTATTTGTGGTTTGTGTCTCTTCATTCTGGATTTTGGTAGTTTGTGAGCGCTCTAGGGTTTTGGGAACTGTGCTGGTGTAGTAGCTGCTGGGACAGGGCGTGAGCCCTTCCTGGCTGTGGCCGGCAGACGTGCCCGGGGGCCACAGGCTACGGCCCTGAGGGACGCCTCAGGAGGACAAAGGAAGGCTGGGGACGCCCAGAAACTTCCGAGTGGGGCAGGCGTGGAGTCTGCATTCCCAGCACAGACGGGGTGGCCGGTAAGGCCTTCTTATTATTAGTCTTTTGTAGTTGTAAGGTGCTTTGTTGGTTGTCTTGTTGTTTGTTGATTGTGTTCTCTTGTCATTTAGCATTGTATGGGGCGCTGTGATGGCTCCCGTTTGGTAGATTTGGAATCTGTGTTTGTATTGCCAGCATTGTCGCGTGACTCTGAAGTGGTTCTGGAGTCTGCATTTGTAGGTTCTGAAGTGGTTCCGGAGCTTGCATTTGTATTACCGGCATCCTCACAGGGCTCTGAGGCGGTTCTAGAGTCTGTGTTTGTATTGCCAGCATCGTCGCGACCACTAGTTTATCCCAGTTCTTTTATGGACACTTTGTGTGGTTGTTGTGTGCTGATTCTCTACACTGTTTGTCTGTTTGTGTACATTGTGATGTCTGCTAACATGGGCCAGACTGTGTCTACACCTTTGTCTCTAACTTTAAATCATTGGTAGGAGGTAAGCGACCGGGCACATAACCTCTCTTTGTCAGTCAAGAAGGTAAAGTGGCAGTCTTTCTGTGCCTCTGAATGGCCAGCTCTGGGAGTGGATTGGCCCCCGGAGGGCTCTCCATTTACCACTCATTCGCCAAGTGAAAGAGGCCGTTCTCCTGCCTGGCCGTCAAGGGCACCCAGACCGGGATTTTGAGAAAACATCGGAGGTCAGTATTCCTTCCCTCAAGCAGGACCGGATCTGTGGAAGTGACCGTTGAGTGTCCGGCACCCCACAGCTCTCCGAGAACGCGGAGTCCCCCCGGCCACGGCTTAGCTACGGCCGAAACTCCAGAGGGATTGTAAGGAATGGGAGGGCGATTAGGAAGGGCAGTTGGCTGAGAGTCTGGAGACCCCCTGAGCTCGCTTCGGCTTCCCGGCAGCCGGACTGTGACCCAAGCACCAGGTCTCTCTCTCAGAGGGACGCCTGATCACACTGCCTACTGCTACTCGAGCAGGGCTTAGCTTCGGTCGAGGCTAATATTGGCCCTCAGGTAAACTCAGACAACTAGGTAGTGGGTAACCTTAAGCGATAGGAGATTTCATGAGGAGCTTCATTGCTTTCTGCCTTCCTCCTCCTCCTGGGGCTCCCTCCCCCACTCTTTTGCTCTCCTCATCTCCATTCCTATACCACTGGGCAGGAGAAAGGGATAGGGAAATTCCACAGGTCTCTCCACCCAGGGAAAAGCTGTTACCTGTTAACCCTTTCCAACCGGGTAAAAAGTTTTCCATCTTTGCAGCTTATGGTAGCTCTGGTGCATCTTAAAAGTTTTTTGTGAACTATTACTGTTGCTAAGCTTTGATTGCCTGAGGACTAAATCTGGAAAAGAGCTAAAGTTAACTATCTGTTGTAATTGACTGAGTGTCTGCAGTAGTCCTAATTGATCTGGCTTTGGTTAAATTATAGGAGGTTCCCAACACTCTTGGTAAAACGGCGCACCTACCCAACCCCACGATTAGTCCTGCCAGGCCCCGGTGTGTGCAGTCTTCCCTGTAAATGGGGGAACACAGCCTTTCTCTGCACTCCAAATATCTCTAGGCAGAGCCCCCACCCCAGGGCTGCTTCTTTTTCCTCTCCTGGAGGAATTTCCAATTCAATACCACTGCTGACCTTACCTAAGGGAGCCAGAACCTTAAGCCATTAACCCTTTCCAACCTGATGGGTTTTCTCTTTGCAGCTAATAAAAACCTAAACAGTGGGTTCATATGCTGATAATCAGCTCTTTTCTGTGCTGCTGTCCCTGACTCATCTGAGAGCGTTCACCTGTCTTGAAGGTTTCGCGTTTTTCTATTGCCATTATGAGTCTTGATTGGAAAAACTACAGCGCGAAGTTTGTTTACATTGTTTATCTGTTTTTAATGTCTAAGTAATTACCCAACTGATCAGAAATGTACTAATTTTGGCTAAATGGTTTGACTCTCTGACAGCTTAAATTCTAAACCGAGTCTTCCAACTTTGGGCTTCCAGTCGGATCCCTGGAACTCTCAAAGGATGAGACTCTAAATTTGTTAAAGTAACAGCTGCTTGGGTCAATTCAAATTATATAAAATATATTAAAATGTTATAAATGGTGTCAGACCTATGCTGTATTTATGGTTTTGCTTTCCAGTTAAAGCGGTCTTATAAAAATAAGAGTAAAATTCTGTGTATACAAGCCTTTATGTTATTAACTAAAGTAAGCCAATACAGATTGGTTCAGAAAATTGAGGTAATGCAAACGCCCTTAAGTTTGCTCAGTGGCTTGCTTGCTCAGTTTTACAAGTCTTTGATATGCTTTAAACTTGTTTCTCTTAATGAGGAAGATCTTTTCAAAGTTGTAAACATGCACTAATGTTTGCTGTCCAGGAGGTGTTATCCTCAAGTTACTTAAAAACATAAAAATGTAATTTTAACTTTTATTTCAGATAATGGTGTGGTATTCACTAATAACTCAGTGTCTTAAGTCATCTAGGCATCAGTGCTAAGTAAAACTTGGATTATTTACAGAGTTAAGTGCTAATACCAAAATTACACTGACCTAAAGTTAAAGTCTAATCTTCTGTTATAACAATGGGGTTTAAAAAAAAAAAAAAAGTGGAGCCGGCGCCGTGGCTCAATAGGCTAATCCTCCACCTAGCGGCGCCGGCACACCGGGTTCTAGTCCCGGTTGGGGCGCCGGATTCTGTCCCGGTTGCCCCTCTTCCAGGCCAGCTCTCTGCTATGGCCAGGGAGTGCAGTGGAGGATGGCCCAGGTGCTTGGGCCCTGCACCCCATGGGAGACCAGGAAAAGCACCTGGCTCCTGGCTCCTGCCAGGATCAGCGCGGTGCGCCGGCTGCAGCGGCGGCCATTGGAGGGTGAACCAACGGCAAAGGAAGACCTTTCTCTCTCTGTCTCTCTCTCTCACTGTCCACTCTGCCTGTCAAAAAAAAAAAAAAAAAAAAGTGTACTAATGTTAGTAAATATCTAAAAATGGTCTAAATCATAAATCTTGGAATCTGTTTCTGCAAAAACTGTAACATCTATGTTAACAGTGTCTGCTAAATCGATTACTCTGCCATTTCTAGAGTTAGGTCCTGTAAGCTCTTTTTGACTCTGTTAAATAATTCTAAATTATGTAAACTCTTATATACAAGGTTTTTTTTTTATTTCTGGTTTATTCGACAACAAGAGACATAAAATTCATGTTAATCCATTGTGTACTCTACTGTCTCTGTTATGATTATACGGCAGATGCTAAAAAAACTGGGTTCCAGAAACCCAAGAAAGCGCTAGTGTCCACAGGCTACATGGTAAATACCCGGAAGCCAAAGGATGGCAGAGACCTCTGCCACAATTTCTCCTCTAAGTCAGGCTACACAGTAAACACTGGTTAAACTGCCGGTTAAATCTAAAAGCCCAGAAAGTCAGGCTAGAGACCCAACTTGCTGCCTCACTTCTCCTCTTTTCTCTTCCAGAAGGGAAATTACTACTGTTCTGCAGGACTCTCCACTGTGACGTACGGTTTGATCCCCAGACCTTATGTAAGGGATGACTGACCTTTTCTGTAATAATGCCTGGCCACAGTATAGGGCCCCAAACAACATAAAAAAAAGGGGGGGGGGTTAAACTACTAGATCAATTTTTCAGTGTACGCGTTAAATGGGCAGAACTCCCCTTTTAAACCAAACTAAAAAATAAATAAAAAGTTACACTGACGACCTCAAAGTATGCAAACAGGTCACCACAGTTGATCTTACCTAAAGGGTCATAGTTCTCCTCATGGGCACGGTCTTAACTCGCAGGAAAATACTAAGTGTCAGGATTTGCCCATGACCATAATTTTTCTAGCTCACCCTGATATTAAAAAATCTCCAAAAATCAGGGTTGGGTTGGGCACCCCCTTGACTTGCATCATAGAGGCTGCCTCCAGGGTCCACTTTATTAGAGACCAGGGAAATGAGGAGCAAGCTAGCAGCAGGAACAATGTAGGGATGGGCAACAGGCCAATCAATGGCTACTTTACACAGTGATCTGCCGTCAAGGAGACCCAGCAAGGCCAGTGCACCCCAAACTGTGCACCTGTTGCTGATATAAGGAGCCAGGGCGTTGGGCAAGCAGCTGTCATGACAGCAAATGCCTTCTGTCAGCCCTGCCAAGAGCACAGCCACTGGACACGGAACTGCCCTGGGTGTCGAAGGACTCCTGGTTCAGAACTACAGACCCTGTGGCCCCGAGCTAAAAAGCCTTTGGCTCTGCCCAGCCTCTGCCCAGCTTCCAATTCCAGCCACTGCTACTGGGGATGGCTTAGGGTCAGTAAAACGTAAGTTGCCTATGCCTATTTCTATCAGCCTCCTATTTAACTCTCCTAATCCAGCCATGTAATGCGAGTCAACAGGGTGCCTCCCTTAAAGGAGATTTGCATCTCTTACAATTTTCTTAACAGCACCCTATGGATAGGTCTGGGCCTCACACACCCTGCCAGGCCTTAAAAGTCTATCCAATAGTCCAGGGGGAAGTGGTCCCCTCCACTCCTGTACTGAAACTATAGATGCTTCTCCTTACACCGTGTGTTTAAATGCCCTTATTTGTTTTGTCTCTAACAGACTAAAAGCTGTTAACTCCAAATGGTCGTCAGACAAGGCTTCCAGCCCATTCCACTGGACTACCTGAACAGCCCTTTGGACCAAGCAGTACAGTCTTTCCAAGGCCACTGTTGCACACCATAAGACAGGTAGCAAGAGGAAATACCCAAATCCCCCTCGACGCCCACATGCCAGCTTCGAAGAAGTTACAGAAGACGGAACTCCATCCATAATCCCAAAGAAGAATTTTGGGTATTACCTCTTGAGGGGAAAATATTAGGCAAAAAGTTAGTTATGAGCTTATGTGTGTGTGACATAAAGGCCTAATGTGCCCACCATATGCATCTACATCTCAGTCATCCTGACAATGTTTCACAGACAGCCTGGCCTTTGCATCCTGCCCTGCCCCCTTCTACCTGATAACCTGCCAGGTGGAGATCCTTCTGCCTGACAAATCTTCCACAATCTCCCAGATGCAGCCCAGTATCTGCATTTCAGTATTACAGAACAGGCGGGGGTTGGATCTCATTCTCATAGGTGGGGGGTGTTATGCGCGGCCCTGAAGAAAAAATGTTGTTTTTATGCTGACTGAACCCAGGTGGTTAGAAACTCCATGGCCAAACTCAGAAAACGACTGGAAAAACGGCAATGGGAGAGGGAAACTCAACAAAAATGGTTTGAGTCATGGTTCGGCTGGTCCCTATGGCTTACTACCCTACTGTCAGCCCTAGCAGGACCCTTAATTGTTCTACTCCTAATTGTAACCATAGGACCTTGTGTGTTAAATAAACTCATCACCTTCGTGTGAAAACAAGTTAAAAATGTTAAACTCATGGTCATAAGACAACAATATATCACATTAAAAAAAAAAATCTCTAAGATTAGAGATCCTCACAACAAGGAGTGGGGAATGAAGAGTTAAAATTGTATATGTGCAGGTGTAAAAAGTTAAGCTTAAGCTTACAGGTTTAAACCTTCCTGGTACAGCTGTAAAAATAAGACAGAGTGAAGTAGCACCTTGACAGTAGGGACTCCATTTTGGAGCACTTGAGACTCCATTCTGGGAAAGCACCCCCCCACCATGAGACTCTGGTTTGCAACCATGATCTCAAATAGTCAGACAATAGCAGTGCACTACATCACCCTTGGCAGAACACAAAAACCCCCTAGCATGATTGCTCAAGCTTAAAAGTAGAAAGGTTGCACTTGGGTTACCTGGGCTAATAATAAAGATGTGATTTGTCTGTGTCTTACATTAATGTCAAGTCCTAATTGCTAATTGTAATATTGTAACTGGTATTGTCAAGATTATGATAAATATTAATTTCACTTAGGTTTTAGGTTATGTTGACCCCAGTAACCATATACTCTTTTGATTTTATGTACTCTCTTTTGATTTTAGCAACTGTGTATAACAACCGTGCATAGCAACCATGTATTCCCCCCCTTCCCGGTTTTGTGGTTTTTGCCTTTATAAACCCTAACCTTTGGTTATTTGGGGCTGCTCTGTTCATGTATGATCAGACAGCCCCAGCATGCTGGATAATCAATAAAGCTTCCCCTTGCTGTTTGCATAAGAGATGTCTCTTGGTGACGTTTTTCGGGCAGTCGACTCTAACAGTTGTAAACACATATGTGTTTTGTTGTCTGTTTATTCTGTACCTATTCCACCTCTCTGACTCTTTTTATTTATTTATTTATTTTTATTTATTTGACAGGTAGAGTTATAGACAGTGAGAGAGAGAGAGAGACAGAGAGAAAGGTCTTCCTTCCGTTGGTTCACTCCCCAAATGGCTACTACGGCCGGAGCTGTGCCGATCCACAGCCAGGAGCCAGGTGCTTCTTCCTGGTCTCCCATGTGGGTGCAGGGCCCAAGCACTTGGGCCATCCTCCACTGCTATCCCAGGCCACAGCAGAGAGCTGGAACAGGAGCAACAGGGACTAGAACCCAGTGCCCATAAGGGATGCCGGCGCCGCAGGCGGAGGATTAACCAAGTGAGCCACAGTGCCAGCCCCATCTGATTCTTAACATAACCCTGTTTTACTTAGCGTTTACCATACCCAACACACTCCCTATGCCTCAGTCCACATCTGGGACTGACTAGTGTAAGGCGAATTCCATTCTCCTGGCCAGTAACTGATCCAGGAACCCAGGCCAGAGTTAATTAGTGTGTGGCAGTGCCCTGAGAACAGGGGTTGGCTCAAAAATGAGCATGTGACCTAAAGTATGCCGGAGGTTCCCAGGACAGAAGTTTCCTTGCTCTTAGGTGGGTGTGTCATTGATGGCATCTCTGGAAACTAGTATTGACTAGAGCCATTTCGCCTCCATGAGGAAAGCAATTCAAGGTCAAAGCCAATGCATAGATGAGGCTGATCCCAGGGTACTGCAGAGAGCTGCAGCCAGAGCCACTAAATTCAACTGCCCCTGAAGCCTGCCCCCTCCTGCACCTCCAGTTATATGAAGCAATCATTGCCCTTATTGTTTATGTGAGTTTAAATTGAATCTTCTGTTACTTGATGCTGAGGCTGGTGCCCATGTAGCACACAGAATGTTTCCAAGAATCTAAGTGAAACACATGGGTAACTCAGAAGGAAAAAATGTCTCCTGAAGTTTCTCAGACTTAGCAAACTGCCAAAGCCCATGGCATGTGTTGACATAAAAACTTTCCAAAGCAGGCTCTGAACGCCAATTAGAATATAGTACAGAAGGAAAGTGTAGTGAGACTGAGAAAAAAGCTGCCATACGTCAACAGTGGTCTCCAAGGAGGGTAGGTCTATTGGCTAAGGGTCCTCTCTGCTCTATTTTTTCAAACTAAAAAATGGGAATGTTTTGCTTTGGGGATTAAATAATAGCCAAAAAGACCAATTGGATGCAAAATGGTAGAGAAGCTAGCTCATGCAACTGACCAATTAATGTCAGGCTTTCAAAATACAAGCCTAAAGGTTAAATAAGTAAATGCTCCTTATAAATCAGAGATCAGGATGTTCAGGAATTTCTACTAAATCTGAGGCTATTAGGAATGAGGAATTTAAAACAACACCCCCAAAGCAGATTTAGATTATAGCTGTAATGTTTAAAGAAGAATTCATGGGACTGGCGCTGTGGAGTAGTGGGTAAAGCTGCTGCCTGCAGTGCTGGCATCCCATATGAGTCCCGGTCGCTCCACTTCCGATCCAGCTCTCTGCTATGGCCTGGTAAAGCAGTAGAAAATGACCCAAGTCCTTGGGCCCCTGTACCCACATGGGAGACCTGGAAGAAGCTCCTGGCTGCTGGCTTTGGATCGGTGCAGCTCCCCTGTTGCGGCCATCTGGGGAGTGATCCAGCGGATGGAAGACCTCACTCTCTGCCTCTGCCTCTGTCTCTCTGTAACTCTGCCTTTCAAATAAATAAATAAATCTTAAAAAAAGGAAAGAGAATCCCTTTAAAAAATAATTCATTTGCATGTTCTTGAAGACAATGATTTTCACAAATATTTTTGAGGTATCATGTTTGTTTTTTAATTAAAATAAAATTTAATGTGAAATGCAGAGAGCATGAGAGAGAGAGAGAGAGAGAGAGAGAAAGAAATCTCATCCATTCACTCCTCAAATGCCCAACAGCTGAGACTGGACCAGCCTGAAGCCAGGAGTCAGGTGCTCAATCCAGGTCTCCCAGGTGGGTGGTAGAAACTGACTACTTAGCCATTCACCTGCTGCCTCCCAGCATGCACAGTAGCAGGGAGCTGAAACTAGGAGTAGAGCCAGGACTTGAACCCAGGCACTCTGGTGTGGAATATGGGTATCTCATGGTAACTCAGCAGGCTTAGGGTTGCTGCTTCATTCAGTTTGGGAGGAAATTCTGGATCTAAAGGCATTCTGGGAGTGGATGATGGGGATTTTTCCCCCCTCATTCATCTACTGAAAACTTTTGAGGCATACGAAGAAAATGAAGATTCCGTAAGGGAGGTTTGAGTACAGGGTAATCAGGGAAGTAAAAGGAAGCCAGGAGTTGTGAGCAAGAGCAGAGTCCCGGAAGCAGGAACGGACAGATGCCTGCTGATCGGCAGCTAGAAGGTCATCGGTGATTTGTGCAAGAGCAGTGATGAGAGGCCGATGAGGGACATTGTTTCACTCTTAAGAAACTTGGCCTGGGGCAGTGCTTGATACAGCAGTTAAGCACCGGCTTGGAACAACCATGTCCCTTATTGGAGTGCCTGGACTTGAATCCCAGCTCTACTCTTCTCTCCACCTTCTTGCTAATGCACACCTTGAGAGGCAGCAGGTGATGGTTCAAGTCCTTGGGTCCCTGCCACCCATGTGAGAGACTTGTATTGAGTTTCCAGTTCCTGGCTTTGGAATGGCTCAGCCCCAGCTGTCACAGGCATTTGGGGAGTGAGCCAACAGATGGAGATCGCTCTCTCTCCCTCCTCTGCCTTTCAAGTAAATAAATATTTAAAATTTAACAAAAGAAACTTGGCCTGTATCCCATCAAAATGTACAAATGTTGCACGTAAATTTTGAAAAATCCCAGATTCCCATGCACTGGAAAGGGAAATCCCAATATGTGAGCCGTCCCAATTGATCTTGTATAAATAGAATTTGAACACATTTAAATAAATGAAAATAGTTGCATCAGTGGGGGGTGAGGGACAGGGAAGACCATTGGCTGTGGAGAAAAGAGACAAAGTGCAAGCTCATGTAGGTGTGAGAATAAAAGGGCCTATTTATAGCCAGAATGAGCGTGCCAGAAAGAAAAGCTTGTGGCGCCTGACGGACCAAGGTCAAGAAAGTGAGTCTGATTTGAGGATGGCGGGTGGTGGAATCCAGGGCACAGGCAAGGGATTTCCTTAAGCAGATTGACACCTTTTCCACTAAGAAAAGAAGGGAAAAATGAAAGCTGAATGCACACGTAGATAAATTTAGAGGAAAGAAAGCAGGAAATTGAGGACATATAGGCTGACAGGTTCCACGTTCTTTTGTAGGAGTGGGGCTTGTCAGAGTGTCTCAAGAACGTGAGTGAGATTTTAAAAGTTATTGAGGGGGCCGGTGCTGTGGTGTAGCGGGTAAAGCTGCCGCCTGCAGTGCTGGCATCCCATATGGGCACCATTTCAAGTCCCAGCTGCTCCACTTCCCATTCAGCTCTCTGCTATGGCCTGGGGAAGCAGTAGAAGATGGTCCAAGTCCTTGGGCCCCTGCACTCATGTGGGAGACCCGGAAGAGGCACCTGGCTCCTGGCTTCAGATCAGTGCAGCTCCAGCCATTGCAGCCAACTGGGGAGTGAACCAGCAGATGGAAAACTTTCTCTCTCTCTCTCTCTCTCTCTCTCTCTCTCTCCCCTCTCTGTGTAATTCTGACTTTCAGATAAATAAATAAATCTTTTTAAAAAAAAGTCATTGAGAGAGGGGCCGGCTCTGTGGTGCAGTGGGTTAAAACCCTGGTCTGCAGTGCTGGCATCCCACTGGGTGCCAGTTTGAGTCCTGGCTGCTCCACTTCTGATCTGGCTCCCTGCTAATGCACCTAGGAAAGCAGCAGAAGATGGCCTACATCCTTGGGCCCCTGCACCCATGTGCAAGACACGGAGCTCCTAGCCTCATTGTTGCAGCCATCTGGGGAGTGTACCAGCGGATGGAAGATCTCTGTCTCTGTCTCTCTTTCACTCTCTGTAACTCTGTCTTTCAAACAAATAAATAAATCTTAAAAAATAAAACAACAACAACAAGACTTGAGCACATAACGAGTTTGAAAGACAGAAATACTGAGAAAAGGGAGCGAGAAAGCCAGGACAGCGAAGTTCTTCTTTGCATTCTGAACTCTACTAGTTTATTTGAGAGATTTTAATCTTGAATATATCGCTGAGACCAACCTCCCATAATGTGAGAACAGGACCCAGCCTCTTGTCTGTCTCCCTTAGCCTAAGGTGTCCTTGCCTGCCCTTTATCAAAAGGAATTGAGGGCGTGACACAGCTGGCTTGACAAGGTTCTAATCACTTTCAAAAAGTCGGGGCCAGCATTGTGGTATAGTGGGTAAAGCCATTTCCTGCAGTGCCGGCATCCCACATGGGCCCCGGTTCAAGTCCCAGCTGCTCCACTTCTGATCTAGCATTCTGCTATGGCCTGGGAAAGCAATACAAGGTGGCCCAAGTGCTTGGACTCCTGTACCCGTATGGGATCAGCCCAGCTCCAGCTGTTGCAGCCATCTGGGGAATGAACTAGCAGATGGAAGACCTCTCTCTCTCTCTGCCTCTGCCTCTCTGTTACTCTGCCTTTCAAATAAATAAATAAATCTTAAAAAAAAAAAGTTGTTTCCTTCTCCAATAGATAAAACACTGTTGGCCAGTACTGTCTGGAGTGATTTGTTTAGGGTAATTTCAGGTCCAGACAGAAAAACTCCAGGTCTGGGTCGGAAGGTAACTATCATTTGCATGTAAAACTCTCCTCCCAGCCAGCTCAGGCCCACATGGCCGTCATAAGTTCCGCAAGAACATGATATCATGGATCAATCAGAGGAAGTTCACGAGCTCCTCTTGGACATGAGCTGAACGCACACCCATTAACCCGATTTCAATCTATAAGAACCTTCACCCCTAATTCCTTGG